GCTTGAAAACCAGAAAACTGGAACTTAGAATTCTGAACTCAAGAGGTGGGCGGCAAATGGGCGGAGGTTTTTGTCTTCAGCCAGGATTTCGTAGATAAGAATGTCCGTGAAATTAGCGGGATTCACATTGATAATATTATTTAAAAAGTTGTTGTTTATTCTGCTGAGGTAGTCCTGAATAGTATCTATTTTCAAGTCGGAGTGGAGAGTCCTATTCCGAACATAGTAAGGAGCTTTTGTGATGATTCTTAGCACCTTATTTTGAAGCACTTGGAGTTTGCTAATTTCGTTTGCTTTGTAGTTTGCCCAGGCTGGGGAAGCATACGTGAGAATGGGTCGGATTACAGTTTCATAAATCCTCTTTTTCAGTCTGAGGGTGAGGTTTTCATTCTTTAGGAGAGGAAAAAGCCTGAAAATGATCCCGTGTGCTTTTCCGCTTACTCTAAGCATATGATCCTTCCAATTGTAGTTCTTGTTAAGGGTAACTCCCAGGTAATTAGCTTTATCAACTGTAGGGATGATTTTGCCAAAACGTTTAACCTCAGTTCTGACCCGTTTCCTCTGTCCAAGGTTCTTTAATATACTAAGGTTAGGCCAGGAACTGTAGGGATGATTTTGCCAAAACGTTTAACCTCAGTTCTGACTCGTTTCCTCTGTCCAAGGTTCTTTAATATACTAAGGTTAGGCCAGGAACGGAAAAAGCGTGCCATTGGTTGCTGGTAGTGACGTCACCCGGGAGACAAGACGCATCGCCCGACGCGTCTGCTACATGATTTTGGTAATGGAAAAAATGTAAACTAAAGCAAAGTGATCATTTTATATGTGGTAGATACACCGGAAATACCGGGTTAATACTTTCCGATTAAGTATTTTGTTAAAGAAAATGTTTATTTTATGCACAGAATTCGTACGAATGCTGAAAATAATTGTAAACATTAAATTCTTTTCGTAAAGGAAAGCATTAGAAAATGAAAAACGTTATTTAAGTTAATTAAGGGAAATAAATATTGTAAAACAAGGTATTTTTCAATATATTTTCGTAGTATTGTTTGCACTAAATAAATCTTGTTGAACAGAACGCATGATGGCATAACTGCTAAGACCATGGCAAAAACATAATCAAAAAGTATTATTCTATTTATTTTCATTGCTCATGCACTTTTTTTAATACAAATGAACTTTGACATTCCATGAGAAATATATGATCGTGATTTTCAGTTTAAAATTACTAATCTCAAGCAAATATATATATAAAGAGATTTGACTTAACAAATTCATATTTAAATACCATAAAATTCTACAAATGTCTTAATATCCGTCATTATACTTTTAAATAGTATACTTATCACATTCTTTTTAAAGTGAAAATGCACTTCATACTGATTCACTTCAGATTTTAGCAGAAGTGCGTATATTTTCAGTATAATCTAAAAGTACTCTTATAATCCCTTCACTCCCAAGATTTCTATATAACATTTATCCTGACGTGATTAATTGCTACAGTAAATAATCTTCGATATTGGCATCCTGTTCTTCCTTCCATACATTAAAAATGGAACAATTAAAATACATTTTCTTACACATATACGCACAATAATAATAATAATAAACTTGCCCTACATCTTAGTTTCGGCCCACCAGCGGCCGAGCGGTAAAGTCGCTGAACACTGGTAGTTCGGTTCGAATTCGCGAACGGGCTGGCTGCATGGGTGTTTTCGTGGTTTTCCTCATGCGTAACGTGTATACGAGCCAGTTTCCCTTAGAAAGTCCTCCACGAAGGCATCACAACGCAGATAGCCCTAGTGTGCTTTGCCATAATTAAATACACCACTACATCTTAATTTCAATTCAGCCTGTACATAAATTAAATATTTTTAATTACTAATGTATTTTTATCAGGTTGTTTCTTAAAATACTTTTGTTATACTCGAAATATGCGTTCAATATTGAATTATTTTTCTTTCTCTTATAATTAAAAACAAGTTATATGGAATCAAAATTAAAACATATGCAGCAGTTAAATAACACTGAACAGAATATCTTACTTACTCTTTCGCTATTTGTATTGTAGCATTATACACAGATTTGTTTTCCTTCAGATTCAAGCATGTGTAAGTTATATCAATTAAATTACATCACACATACCTGTATGCATCAGTTAAATAACACTGAAGGAAATATGTCACTCACTCATTCGATGTTTGCATCATAGTGTGGTCGAGAAATTGTTCTTTCGTCACGGTGAGGCATGTATCAGTTTACTTAGTTCGCAAAGCTTAACCCAGACGCTGCTTCAATACATAGAATTCCGTTTGGGATGTAAAGAAAGTAACCAAAACATGTGAATGAAGTTGGATACGCGAATTTATTAACTAATCATTCAGGTACTCAGTATTGGTAAACATGACACTGAGTTTAAATATCTCACTACGATGTAAGTCTCATACACAAAATGAAGATTATGATAAAAAAAATGATTTAAAATGAAAAATTTTTCAATTTAAATGTAAAATAGGAGTAAAATGAAAAATAAATGTAAAATTACATCACAGTTATGTATGAAAACTATTAAACTTCATTAAAAAAATAGTTATTTTATCTGGTTGTAAAGAGTGTTTTCCGAATTAACAACACAAATCAAATCAAACTGTTAATGCAACGAAAGTAAACAAACGCCAAGAACTAACGCTGTCACCCACATGACGTCATGCGTATGTGGCTTAACTTTCTCCCTGCACTGCGCATCGCTCTTGGGCCCCCCCTGCCTCTGTCTGCGATTTCGAATGAGTAGAATCTTGGACTTTTCTGGCTGAATGCACGTTTTCCAGCGACTGCACCACCCCTCAATAGCAGGGAGTTTCGCCTGAATTCTTGACAAGGCATACTCTGGGTTTAGAGACTTGGTGGCTATCGCTGTATCATCAGCGTAGCTGGCTGCGAGAACATTTGTATCCTCGTAAAAGCAAGGGAAATCGTTGGTATAGATGATGTAAAAAAGCGGGCCTAAAATTGACCCTTGAGGAATACCTGCGTAAATATTTTTGACACATGAAGTTGCATTTCCAACTCCAACGGTGCAAGTTCTATTTTCAAGGAAGGACTTGATAATGAGTATCAGATTTCTGGGGAAACCGAGATGAATTAGCTTATAGATTAGCCCTGGATGCCAGACGCGGTCAAAAATGCAATACTCACCATTGACTTTGGCTAACTACCTACTAACTAAGTATAAGTATTACGCAGCAGAGAACTTGCTTATCATGCGCATGCGCTAGGGGAATCAACGGCGGTTGCCAACAAAAACACGATTATTTTTATGTCGTTTCCTGAAAAAACCCGTAACGCTCGGGGGCTATCATGCCAATGGTGTATTAATACTCCTTTCGAACTCGTGTTTGGAACTAAAATGAAATCTACTAATCATGGCAAAATTACAAAACTGTTAAATACAGAGATCGAGTTAGACTTCGTCAACGCTAGTGTTAATCTTCGACATTAATAACAATATATTGTATTAACATATATTGATTGAACAATATATTGATTATAGCAATATCTTATTTATCTATAATCTTATTTATGTGCAATCTTATTTATCTGTAATCTTATTTATGTGTAATCTTATTTATCTGTAATTATATTTGTCTGGAATATAACTTCTTTGTAACCATATGTTTATTTACCGTTTCTGTATTTTGCCTTTTTGATGCTGTTTTGTGAAATAAATAAATAAAAGAAACAACCTCCCTTATGTCCCGGGTCCTTGACGTTGGCGAGGGGCTTCTCACTAATCTGGGACACACACACACAAAAAAAAAAAAAAAAAAATCTAGAACACTTTCACACATATACACACATATACATATATTTCAAATATGCATACAAACAATCGCTAATTCAATAAATAAAAATCAGACATATTACTTATTTATATTACTTCATATTTATTCTAAAAATAAATACACACACACACACAAAATATATAAAATATATATATATATATGGCGTCGAGCTGCCCCGCGTCGAAACGTTGGCGTCGAACCGTCGGCGTCGAAACGACCTGCTTCGCATAATACGGACTTTAAACTCAAACTTAAGGTTCTCGGACTGTACAAGATCGTGAAAATTAAACCAAATGACGCTTATGATGTTGAAAAATATGGGTTCTTCGATGGACTTATGAAAACAAGCACTTCTGCCCAATTTATAAAACCTTGGACTGGGTCCATTAGAACGTGTTACTTGGACTTTTTTATAGACATTTCTCATATAAATTGATCAATATCATTTGACTTTAACCCGATCAAGTTTTCTTTGTTAATGAAAACTTTTATTTTTCTAGGTGCTGTTATTAGAATATCCTGATTCAATACTTCTTTCATTTATCTGTATTTAATCCGATAGTTCTTAGCTTGGATTATTTTATTATGGCAAAGCACATTAGCGTTACCTGCCTAAGGGAAGAGATAGTTTTGTGAAGCACTTTCCAAGAGAAACGGGATTGCATTCATCTTATACATAGGTAAAACAACAAAAAGGCCTATGCAGCCAGTCCATTCGCATTATCGAACTACCAGTGTTAAGCAGTGTTACCCACTCGGTAACTGGAAGGCGTAATCTGATTGCTTTGGCATGCTTTTCAATAATGGGAATTATTCTATTTCTGTACTTGTCTGTATCCGACGGTAAAATCAGAAAGTGCCTTGGATGTTATCATTCTTATTTGTTTGAATTAAGGAATTGTTACACTCTAAAATAATCCCACACATGGAGAAATAACTTCTTTTTGTTCAGAGACAAATAATTCCCCTCCTAGGTAATCACAACTGATACGAGTATTTTGATTATATACATATCGTCAGTTTCATATCATTAGACATATGTCTTATCGAGGTCCTTTCCTTAGGAGCGACCTTGAAGAATCCCTGATAGCTGTGCTTTTATCATACCCATATAATTTAACTCCATGGGAAAAGGGGCACACTCTTCGGTAATGCCAATATATAAGAATTTTCTGATATTTGCTTAAATTAATTTCAGTAGTTATCATTTAAAAGATGTTGAGACTAATTGTAGTTATGTTATTATTAGGTTTTGTTAACAGTCATGGAAGTCTGGATGAGCCACCAGGAAGATCCACCATGTGGCGCTATGGTTTTGAAACTCCAGTGAATGTCGATGACATTGAATTGTTCTGCGGTGGAATAACGGTAAGTTCTCTACATATTTTTTATGTGTATTACCACAGCTATAAAAAGAAAATGTAAATGAAATCAAATATATGAAGAAATGATACAATCTGTATTATGAAATATCAGAAAGCACGTGCTTTAAGTGAATGCGTTATAAAATTTTAATAATTTTCATTTCAGATTTTTTTTATTCTATGAATTTCACTGATTTAAATAGCTAAATCATTTTTATATCGCTTTATCGTTTACGCACAAGTGAAATGGAACATCTTCACATTTGATGAAAAGGTATGATGCAAATGATGGTTGGTATTCTGTTTCTGTATTAAATGACATTTTTTTTGTGCAGTTCTGATAGAGCTTAACTTCTAATTAATATGTTAACTACTGTGCACGATTTTGTTCAGCGATGTGGAACTTTTGGCTCTTCTCTTTAAAATTCATCTGCAAATTCTTTCACTTAAATAATTTAGTACTTACAAAATTAATTTTATAATCGTTATTTCAGTTTAGTTCCATATTTAAAGTCTGAAATTTAAGGACAGTTGTTTGTTAAACTCGAGAGCTTTGAATTCTGAATCTTGCCAAAACGCGAACATTAAAAAATTGTGAAAGTTAGAAGAGAAAAATTATCAAAACGAAATATGAAGGGAAAAGAATGCGACATAAAATTATTTAGATTCATTGAAAATTCAATCAATATTCGAATTAATTTCTACAATGATATTTAGTTTTAAGTGAGTATCATTACATTTAAATGTCATTAAGTTTACATGTTTTACAATTCTATATTTAATAACTTGCTTTACGTAGTAAATCTACGAATCTAAGTATAAGATATTAAAATAAAACTGGTTCAAAAAGTAGCCATTCATGTAGATGCTTTTAATTTTAAAATAAATACAGTTTATAGCACATCAAAAGCAATTCAAAAATGAAAAAAAAAAAAAAAAATATTTTACGCTGCAGAACAAGCACAGGGATAAATACTACTATTTAAAAGATGTTAATTTTTACCTATGCTGGAAGAGCCGAAATTTCAAGAAGCGTAATCCATTGTTTTTATTCTTTCGGTAAATGGTTTGCTTTTATTTAAGTACAGCAAAGTGCACGAGGCTCTTTGTTTAAAGGGAAGGCATGCCCTCGTGGAGGACTTTCTAAGGAAAACTGGCTCATATACACGTTACACACGCGGAAAACAACAAAAAAGCCCATGTAGCCAGCCCATTCGCCGGAACTCGAACCTGGACCGAACTAAAAGTGTTCAGTGACTTTACTACTCGACCGCTGGTGGTTCTTCCTTCTGCAAATGAGTTGTCAGTGAATGCTCAGAAAAATTACTAATCAATTAATACTATTTATCGCTAATAGTTTTCTAAATAACATAACTCTCTTAAATTATTTAGTTTAATATATAGCATTTTGATCTAATAAAATAATTCGGAAAAATAACAAACACTGTTATTTGTAACCCTTTTTCTGCTTTGCGCATTTTAGAGAAATACCACACTGACTTAGTGTTACCTCTTTGAATCTGTTATTACACTCCATATACACTAATTTATATACATAATAAACGTGTGTGTAAGGAAAGTATGCATATAAATATGAATTTTGTTTTAAAAATGGGAATTTTTTTTATTATATATTAAAGCATGACACTGATTATATTAATTTCAGTTCAAAGTTCAGAAAAAAATCCATTTTAGAAATTTTAAAACTACATTTTTGGTTGAGAAACTCAGCATTTAGAGGAATTACAAAATATTGATAGTTACGTTAGATTATAATATTTTTACACATATAACCATAAAATATACTATTGCGTGCATACGAGTTTGTAATAGATTGAATGCACACAGGTCCGATGATAGATAATAACATTTATTTTATCAGAAGAAACAATTTATCAGAAAACAAATAAGTTCTGGCACTTTTCACAGAAATAGTCTCCCAGGTGTTTGTTCACAGTATCATAGATTACAATCAGAAGTTACACTTTAAATTACTAGGAACTTTAAATGAAATCCAAGCAAAGCGTATCTAAAAGACGAAGCTTTCAATAGTCGCTCTGAATTAACAGCTCACAACCAGAACTAAGAACTGATGCTCTCTCCGGTCTTATACAGATTCTACCCGGCCATCGAGATATTTCTAGTGCTTTCTGCTTCTGGAAATTACTGGAAGGCATATGAGGCCCAGATACGGTTACAGCTAATATAGCGATCAGTTACAGATATTCAATTACAATACCTATTACGGTGACACGGGAACCGGACCTAAATGTCGCTAACTGGTCGCCAAGTTTGGAGACTTCTCGCCAAATATGGCGACAAAAATTACATCGAAATCTTTTCGATATCTCGCCAAATTAGCGACATACCTATTTACTCAATGTTAAATAGACTTGCTCCTGTATTCTTATTTTTCCGGCAGAGCATCACTTCTTTCAGCCTTTCATGTTACATTATACAGAAAAATACCACAATTTCACATATAATTTCAGTGAAAAATCTGTCTATAAACAAAATTTGAAACCATATAAATAAAGCATACGAAGTTTACATCACGTATTTAAGGCGAACATGATTTGCATGTCATAGGCGCATTACTAGCGTCACACTTATTATTCGTCTACCACTAAACTTGAATAGACATCATCTTTCAGGCATGAAACAAACAGGCCTGGAGGGCATGTTTGTACATATTTCAAATGTCGTTCGTCTCAGATCTTTCAGATGTCATAGCAATGTACATTTTTTTTTTCTCTCTCTCTGTTTTATTGCGAGAATATCGCAGATAACACATATACCAGACAAAATAAGTACTAATGGATTGCTTATATTACACATAAGCAATTCATTAGTACTTATTTTGTCTGGTATACCATCCATATGTTTTCTGGCTGGTAGAAAATAATTAATAATTAAAATTTTGGAGAATGAAAGATTATTCGGTATCTGTTGGTTGTTGGAGCATCGGAACTCCGTATAATTCGAGCGCTTGTACTATACGTTTAAGTAAACATATTAGTTGCTTAAATGATAAGTCATTTAAGCAACTAATATGTTAACCAGTAGATGCTTTCAGGTGTTCTCCCCCCCTTCCCTGGAAGAAAAAAAGTTCATCCTTTACACTTTATTGCAATACATAATATGTATGAAAGTTACATGAAAGTTACATGTAATATAATTATGCCATTGTGTTCGTTGTTTTTTCTGCTGCTTGTTTTCACATAATTTTCTTTTCTAATCTTAAACCAAGAGCACTGCCACCCCAGATATCCAGTTTTGTAAGATAATTGGTGTGTCTAGTATTTTTTTTCAATTTTAAGCATCAATAAATATAAACTCAAGCGATAATATTATATACTAAATAATCAATATTTAATATATAATATTATCGCTTGAGTAAAAGGTAAAAGGAGACCTTGCAGTTTCAATCTTTTTTCTTTTTCTAACCAATTTGACTTGTAGTTAAACTATATATAGTTATTATAAAAAATATAGTTAAACTATATTTTTCGCTTTGTATCCTTCTTCGATGCGCAGTTGCGGTTTAGTTATTAATATCATATCATTTCAGAACAAAAGAATGATAAAAACATTAAGTTCGTAAAATATTCACCTTTCAGATGAAATGGCGAGCATTCGTAGAACAAATTAGACAGTGAGTAAATATGAGAACTCTTTAACTCTTTTGGTATCTTAGTTAGGAAATTAGAACTAAGTATTTATAAATTCTGTATTATGAATTGACAATTTAGTGTTGCATTCCAAACAATGATTTTTAATCAAACAAAAACTAACGTTTTTGAATTTAATTTAACTATAGTTGTAAGGATCTTAAGTTTTACTAACGTTTATTTTATTTTAAATCTTTACTATCACTTCTTATTTTCTACTTCCGGCCAGAGTTAAAAGCTTTAACTTATTTATGCAAATTTGTCTTGCGAACGCCAAGTAGTTAAGTTGTGGCTTTTTGCCAAGCAAGAGAGAGGAAGGAGCTATTAGAAGCAGGCCGCTTGCCATAGTAGTTTTACTCGGTTGCTGGTTGCCTTCAAGGCCAGAGGTTTAATCCTCTTGATAATTTTAAACGTATCGTACTGTTAGCAGTTCTCTGTACTACATACGGCTTTTTGCTAATATACGGCCAATCTTGGAGTAGGCACTTGTTTGATTAATCCAAAGTTAAGTTTAGTTAGAGTTTAGTTAATATTTTTATATTCTTACGTTCAGACAACAAGTGGTTGGTCTCTGTATTCCGAAGTCCGGAAATCATTGTAAAGAGAGAAAAATAAAGGTTTCGTATACCCTTCCTGCGTGTATTGTCTACTTCCCAAATTTATTGAACATAGCTTTAGTAAGCTCCCTGTTCCGAGTCAGGACATTTAATGGTCCCAAAGCAAGTAAGGAGGAACACAGAACCTGATATAGTGACTTATTTTAAAGTGAATCAATAGTTTGTGTTAGAGCCATAACCTTACTCATGACTCCGAACGTGTAGTCTTGCTTAGTATACCCTATATCAAAAGAGGGAACTTTTGAAGCTGAATTAAGAATGAACGAACTCGTCTTGTCATTTGTATGCAGAAGTTTTACAATGTGCATTACTCGATTTTATCTAGTAATGTTCCTTACAGGAGAAAATAATTACAATTGGACATATCAATAAATTTTTCCCCACATGATAGCATCTTTCTTCTCCATTGCTTTCGTTCATGCGTTATACATACAATAACAAAATTGATACAAAATGGTTAACGATGTAAACTACCCTTTTTCGGTTGTTGATCGACTTAACAAGCCACGTCATTTCCCTGCAGTGTATTTCATAAACTAAGTATCTTATTAAATTAAATAAACTCATACACAATTTTTCATTTTATTTTACAGAGGCTATGGCAGGTCAATAAAGGAAAATGTGGAGTATGCGGAGACCCATGGGATCTTCCCGAGCCAAGGCCTAATGAAGATGGCGGAGAATATGGGAAAGGAATTATTGTGAGAACCTACAAGGAAGGTCAAGAGTTTACCGCCATTGTCAAAATCGTCGCGAATCACTTGGGGCATTTTGAATTTAAGCTCTGTCCAATCCAAGAAGGAGTCAAAGTGGACCAGGAGTGTTTTGATAAGCATCCTATAGCACTTTCCGATGGCTCTGGCTATAGCTACAACCTTGGAAAGCAAAAGGGGTTTGTTAAAGTTCATCTCAGATTACCTAAAGGATTAAAGTGTGAAAGATGTGTATTCCAATGGCACTGGAGAGCAGGTAATTAATTTCTCTCAAATTTTTAAATTTCAATAATGAATATCGATCATCGTTTGTAACTCATTTGATATTACATCTGAAACATCAAAGCATTCTTTAAATTCTTATCAAATTTATAAATGAAATAATGTTATTTATTTGTTATGTATTTTATTGAGAAATATATGCCATTACTGGTGATTGAAACAGCCTAGATTGCTGTCTTTTTGTCAACGGAGGATTATATTATATTGACTTACATAGTCATGCTATAAGCTATTACGCAAGGAAGGGTGCAAAAATATGCGTTTCTTCTCTAGATCTAGAAAAGTTCTTATACTTTCCTTTTCCAGTTTGAAAATCTAATTTAAAACCAATAAACATTATGCTTCTGGTTCACAGAAGAAGGTTTATGCAACGCAAATATCACAGTGTGAAGCACTAGTGTTAGACTAAGTAGTCACTGCTCACTAGTCAGTGCTTTTAGAACTGAAACACGCTAAAATAACTTGGGCTCTTTCGATTTTCAGATACTCGAGGAAAATAAGACATTTCTCCTCAGCTAACAGGAGGTGATATTTATGCTTAAAAGTAGTAACATAGTAGTACACAATGACAAGCTCTGCTCTTAAAAGCACTGTGAAAACTTTTGATCATATTTTGAAATAAAAGTATTCTTTTGTAGAAAAATTGTCTTCTAACACGTAGTAGATATGGCTACATGACTGGTCAGTGTGGAGGTTAATGGAACCAACTGTTATATTCGTGGGTCCAGATTTGAAATAAGGAGAAGGCGTGGAAGTCTGTAAATGTCTTTTCGAAAAATTTTGTCTTTTCTTTATAAGGCAGTTAATATACATGTCAAGGCAAAAGTCTTCTAGAGAGCTTGTTGGCAGAGAAGTAGGATTGTAAGAACATGGGATTCCTGGAGTGTTCTTGATCAACACTGGACTGGAGCTGAGTTGTAGTTGTAGCGTCACCAATTAGGTGTCTAAGGCCAATAACAGCCCCTCTTTCTCCTCGTCCATAAGAATACATATAGCTGTTGTTGCATCTGTACACTTGGCCATAGGGATTAGCAATAATAGCAACAGATGTCATTAAAATTTAAGTGGTATAAGGACATCAATAATTTGCAAGTTATCTGCATTACTTAAATTGTAGATATGTTCTTGCCTCATGTTGTGTAATAACAATACAAAAACAGACAACATTTAATACAGCTTTTCAGCTCATTGAAGCTCTGAGAAAGAAATGAATCATTTGAAGGGGAAGAATAGTTGCTATTTCTTGGAATTAAAATAACGTAAATAATATAGCACTATATTCTCATAAGCACTAAGAAATGTAAGAAACACTGATAAGTATTGCGATAAGTATTATCAGCACAACTGATTCTTGAATTGGTAGTATGAAGCAGAACTTAAATGAATAGACTTACCTCCACCTGTTGACGAATTTAAAGTTAGGCGTGATTGCTGAATGAAACTCAGCCTGAGAGTATTTTCTCTCAAGTAGAAAACTGACTTCATCGAAAGTTCTTCCTTCATGAGGACTTCATCGAAAAGTTCCATAGATTTTGAAGGATTCTAACGTAGTTCCTTTTTCTTCAAGAAGCAAAAATATTCTTTCCATATTCTGATGGAGACGTGAAATTTTGATGGATTTGCATCGTTTTAATTATAAGGATTATTCAATTTCCAATTTCTGAAGCAGATTATTTATTTACTAAGAAAAGAGCTATATTTTACAGTTCCTTAAAATTCACAGATCTTTTTATATCATCAATCTGAGGCTTAGTTCTGCTTAATTTTCAAATTCTAATTGCTGTTAACCTCTTCTATCTATTATTTAAACAAAGTATTGAATATTTAATGTAACTAAAAATTTAAATAAGTACTTATTTTTTTATTTATCGCCCAAGCTGAAGATATTTATGCAGATGACTATTATGACATTAGCAGATTAGCTCTGCAGATGACTATTATGACAACGTTTCAGAAAGGTAAAACATTGTAAACATACATTTGCTCCATTACAGGTGGTTAAAACAGATTATAATAAACAAATGTATGTTCCGTTTTCGTCTGACTTCAGATTTTATGCAAAGATGCTTTCTCGTTCTCTCAGGTAATTATAACACATGAGCATTTTCTAGAAACATACGGAGGAGAATATTATAAATATCTAATCGCAGAAAATAAAAGATAAATAAATGTAATTTTTCTATGAAATATAAGCTGTTTGAAGAAATATCTTTAATAAAAAGTAGAAAATTTTTTATTACGAAGGAAATATGACATGCAAAATATTCTTCATCCAGTTGCTTCAATATTTATAGTAAATACTATAAGTATTCCTGTAATGAAGATTGAGTTTTCAAATAAAGAAGAATTTTCTTCGTAAAATTATTATTATATTATTATTTGTTTCTGTTTGTTTTTTAAATACATGCTCCTTAGATAATAGATAATTAATTTTTTTTTTTTTTTTTTTTTTTTTTTTTTTTTAAGGCAATCACTGGGGAATATGTGAAGATGGCAAGGGAAGAATGGGATGTGGACCTCAAGAATACTTCAGAGCTTGTTCAGACATCAGAATTGAATGAACATAAATTTTTAAGAAATTTAAGTTTCATAAGTGCGCTTACATTTCGCTAATGTATTCTTTGTACAGATGGTCTTGAAAACACTCTTTGTAAAATTCATGAATCATTTTTATAATTTACATATAATGATTTCTAGTAATTATTTGAAATATGTACTTATTTTTATTTATCCCAATTGACTTTATAGCCCGAAACAGCTTTAGAAATCATACGCAGTTGTATTTTAATTTCAAATTTTTAAAAACCTTTTCTGTAGTCCTCTTAAAGTTCACCACATCAGGATGATTGTGATTAAACTTCAAAGAACACTAACGCCCTTAATACCGGCTTCTTATCTCTTCTAAAAAAATATCGAGTTGGTAGGAGTGTAATCAAGTATTGCCAAAGACAATTTCAAAAGAAAAAAAAAAAAAAAAAAAAAAAACATACGTATCATTGTGTAACTTTAATTTTATTATCCATCCTTTTGCCCTCTTTGAGAAAACTTTTCTATTTCATTTTGGAAGTATTCTTTCGATTTGCCTTAAAATCTTGTGTTTAATGGGTAATTTTTGGTCTGAAAGAAAATGCTGAATGACCTAACAGGTAATAATTGTTTTATCAATTGGAAAGGTGGCAGAATATCCCATTATTTAGCTTTTGTTAAGTCACTCTGTGATTTAGACCTATCTTGGTGAAGAATCATTCAGGTCTGTTATCTGATGGCTAAATCCCGTTCCAAGTCCTCTAACTTATGACAACAGTCGTTAATGGTTTTGTTATTTTGATATACATTAATGACTCGGTTATTTTGCAACATTTCAAAATAAACATATCTCCTAAATCCGACCGTATACAGAACGAAACCTTCTTTGGATGCAGTTTTGGTTTTTCTGTGATAACTGAGTTGTCTTTCATGCTGTCTTCTTCGACTAATATAAACAAAAAAGATCTTTTTCTTTTCTTCATCCATAATATGCCTTCAATCCTTTTCCTTATTTGTAAACGGAAAAGCGCAGATCAGTACTTTTTACTGATGGTTTTCAGTTGTGAGTTCATGTGGAGCCTAAACACAAGAAAAACCTTTTTATTCATTTGAATTGAGCTGTTGCTTTTTGCTACGCAAGTGAAGTATCCCTATTATTTCTTTATCTGTGGTAAGGGGGTATGAGTCTATCAGCATATTCAAGTATCATTTTCTAACTAGGTCGTTCTCAATATAAAATTGTTTCATTTCGAAACATTTTAAATCATTTTTGGTACTGACATTTACTGACAGCATCTGGGCATACAGGAAAAAATTCTCCGATTGATAATGTAGCATTTTTGTGCAGCTAAACTCTACAATATGAATTCGATAAAATGCAGCTTATTATGTAAGATCCTTTCCCTATGAAACAAATTAATGAAATGCTAATTCAGTGGAGTACACACAAAAAAGGGCATGTTAACAAAATTATAATGAGCTTTGAAAATTTCGGTTGCAGAATCATTCTGTACACTTGAATTATGGGAAGTTAAAATTCTGGCTTACTTTTCGACCACCATGATAATTATTATTAAAAAAAGATTTATAATTTTTTAGTAGAGACTGAAATTTCATACCATTTATTCCCTTTTAAAATGTATGAATAAATCTTAGTTTCCTAAATTATTTTACCAAAGAAGTCTAATCTTTAAATAAAATTAACCTTTCAGATTTGGGCGATAAAGAATTTGTTGTCCCTTCTTGAATATGCAATATATTAAAAAAAAACTTTTTAAAATATTTCATGACGTTAATATGATAAACCTATAAGACTTTTCTCTCTCTCCTTTACCTCATGCTTTCATGTGACGTAACGGAAGCACATTCAACTATCAATCGGAAGGCCCAGAATTTCCATCCCGGCAAGGGCAATCGTCGAATCTTCAAATTTCAACTTCAAAAATTCTAAATAGATTCTTCAAATATTTTAAATAGATGGCCCCGCGAACCAAAAAGATGACGGACTGCCAGGAATGAGGATTGGGTCCCAGCCTACTCAATTATCCTAAGTGAAGAGAATTTCTCCCTCTAAGGGTTTTTCCCCCGCGTCCTTTCGTGGTGTAAATGGAAAGCACATCCAGCTAACAAGGGCGAAAGAACCGGAGTTTAAGTCCCAGCAAAGGAGTCGTCCCTGGCTTCTAAAAATTGTATAATCGACTCTATAAACCTATTTTAATTAACTTCATTATACAAAAGTATTGCGTTAAATAAGAATGTTGCAATACATTGTTCGTAAAACCTTGGAATATTTAAGATAATTGAACAAGCAATAACCCAGCAAATCATTATAGACGGCCCATTGAGAAACAATAAAAAATACTGAATATACTTGTCTCGATAAACAAATCACAAAATTTATATTTAGTACAAAAAAAATGGAATAAGGTCGTAATAAGAATAACCAGTAAAAAATGTGCATAAAAATTATTCTGCACAAGAACTATCAGTTAAGTCTGTAAACCTAAAATTTCATTTATCTAATAATGAAAATATTTTATTTCGAAATTTAAGGTCTGTTCAATTTCTTTTGTCATTTTTAATGTTAATATTTTCTAATTAATCCATATTTTCGAAATATAAAAAACGGCAAGATTTCTTGAAATAAATTTCCGAAATGTGCATGATCTCTATCCTAGAATGCTATTTAAACCCGGCGGGCTCGGCTTAAATATATACACTCTAAAATTCCGTAATCGATAAATTTCTAGTTCCAGTGACTCGAAATATACATAAATGTTTAGAGAAACTCTGAAAATTATAAACTCAGAGTAAATAAAATCATTAGTTCCTATATTTCAAAAGAGTTAATGGTAAACTTGCCAGGATATGTTACAGGAATCCACCTTGCTTTAGTTTCTTGAATAATTTTTCTAGTAAAATGGTGATCTTATCATTTATTCAGTGACATCATCAAATTCTTTTGGAAGTTGAGTTGAGGTAAGATGAAAGTCTATTTAATAGTTTCTTAACGGTTACAGCCGAAAACATCGCGGAGAAAACAACGTAAGGCGGAAACGTCGTGGTACAAAACATCGTGAAGAAAATAAAGCAAAGAGAAAACATCGCCAGTTCTTAAAACATCGTGGTACAAAATATCGTCGTCGAAAATAAAGCGGTTCAAAAACTTCAAAGTTTAAAACATCGTCGTCGAAAATATCATGGTAAAAAATAAAGTACCTACAAATCATCGCATAATGATTTGTGAGCGCAAGATGGAAAGAAGGCTAATTTTCCCATTCATATTTTTTATTAATATATTTTTAAAAAACAAAACAAGAAATTTAAATAAAACAAGAAATAATTTTCGCTATAAGAGTATCAGATTAACAAAAGTGAAGAAAATAATCTCATAATTTTTTTTTTATAGATAAGGTAATGAAGTTACTTATCTTTCTTTTTCTATTCTTTTTTAGATTATACTTTTCACAAAAAATTACCAGTAAAACTTTATAAAATATAATTTATTAATGACCTTTGTTATAATGTGACAAAACTATTTTTTTACGAAAGTCAGAAAATGCAGAGCCATGACATCAGCACCAGACAGCGTTCCGCCCAGCCCGCATACTAGGATTCATTCAAATTAGCTGTATTGAAAAGAGAATATGACTACTTTTGACGTTTGCGTAGTAGGATTAAAATGACTATTTTCTCGCTTCTGATTGGACTTCAGCTCATCCCACTCTCACCAGCAGTGAGACAACGTGTCTCATTTTGTTAATCTCAAGTGTTCACATCTTTATGGTGAAACAGTTATGAAGAGCCGTTATGTGTGAGGCCCCTAGTGAGATTCCGTGATACGCTCTGGTAAGAGTAGGACAAATTCCTGCTGAACACCAGAATACGCAACTAAAGCATCAAAGCATCTCAAGTGTGTCAAAGCTTCATGAAATCACTGGATTGGTCGAAGCTACTATGCTCCGCCTACTGCTTTGCCATCCCACCACCTTCGATACTCAGTTAATCAATCAATCAATCAATACTTGTGTTGCACGTGGTTGCGGCTGTGTGCAACAACAAACTATGAGTATTTGAATTTGCCAGTACTTTTAGGGATGAATTCATAACATGCCATAAGAGCCAATTTTTAGATAACAAAAACATTTAATCACATCACAATAGTAAAACTTAATTAGTACAGTTGACAGACAATCACGTTGAAGGAAAGCGAGCGACCAACAGCACCGACGAGACGTGACAGTGTGTCGCCGAAATCACCTTCGGTTACAGTTAGTGATAACGGCACGCGGTTGGCGAGTACAACACATGTTTACAGAGTCGCCCACACTACTCCCCCCCCCCTCCAGTGGCAACGAATTAAAGGTACCGAGGGTTAAATCGGACTCTACGTCCGGAACGTGTATACTGAGGAGCACTTGTTTTCTGGGATCCAGGCACAGGAACTGACGTAGTAGCAGATGTTGGTGTAGACCCAATAGATGAAGGTGCCTTCGAAGGAGGTGGGACTGATGTACCAGTCTCGACAGTTTGTGGTGCTAAGATAAAGGCTAGGTTTGAGACGATCAAGGCTCACCACTGTCTCTTTGTCGCCGATTAGTATCCGATAGTTCTTGGATGTGCGACTTAGAACTAGGTGTGGGCCTGTATAGGTAGGCTCCAAGGACTTTTTTGATGCATCACACCGTAAGAACACATGTGAGGATGTAGCGAGTTCTTTAGGAATAAACACAGGTCTTGAAGAATGTATGCTTGTGGGCTTAGGGTATAATGCAGCCATGGTTTCACGCAATTGTTTGAGGAATGCATGGGGCTGGACATTGGGTGAGTTTTTTGCGGGATTTATAAAATCTTCCGGTAAACGTAAATTGGTACCATAAACCATTTCAGCACTTGAAGAACCCAGGTCCTCTTTGATAGTCGTTCTGAGTCCTAACAACACAGTAGGAAGGACATCAACCCAGTGAATAGCAGTATGGCATCTAATGGCCTGTTTAAGAGAGCGATGGAACCTCTCAACAAGTCCATTGGAATTCGGGTGGTACGGTGATGTACGGATCTTTTAGTTCCCAAGAATTTTGTTAATGCAGTAAATAATTGAGATTCGAACTGCCGTCCTTGGTCCGTGGTAACGTACTCGGGTACCCCAAACCGTGAAATCCATACAGAAAAAAAGGTTTTTGCCACAGTGTCGGCTGACATATCTACAATAGGGATAGCCTCTGGCCAACGTGTGTATCTGTCGACACACGTAAGAAGATATGTATAACCTAGTGATGGGGAAAGGGTCCAACCAAATCGATATGTACGTGGCTAAAGAAGCGAGCAGATGGTAACTCAAAGCGTTGACATGGAGTTCGAGTGTGCCTGTGAATTTTTGATTTTTGACAGTCTGTACATGACCTTGCCCATGCAGCGATGTCCTTCTGCATACCAGGCCATAGAAAACGCTATTGAATTAACGTGCGAGAAGCACGGATGCCAGGATGGGATAAATTATAGAGGCCGCTAAAAATACCATGCCGGAATTTCTGTGGAATGTATGGCCGCACCACACATTACCTTGCACATCGCAGTACAGTGAAAGATCTGGTTCTAACTGCATAGGTACTAAATTAAGTCCATGAGAAGACTTGTCAGACAAAAGATGTTGCAATTCTGGGTCCTGTTTCTGACATTCAGCAATGGCGGAGAAATCTGTTGTTGATGGCAACTGAACCTCTTCAATTCTGGACAGAGCATCAGCAACTGTATTTTGAGGGCCTTCTACATGCCTAAAAATCGGTTGTAAACTGCGCTATGTAATCAAGATGACGCATTTGCCTGGGAGAAGCCTTGTCAGGCTTTTGTCGAAAAGCGAAAATTAGCGGCTTGTGGTCGGTACAGATAGAAAACACACGACCTTCTACCATATGACGAAAATGTTTAACAGCCTCATACGCACTAAGAAGTTCGCGGTCGTACGTGCTGTATTTTGATTGCGCTGCAGAAAATTTTTTCAAGAAGAAAGCCAGAGGCTTCCATACTCCATCTACCAGTTGCTGCAAAACCGCACCCATGGCCGTATTAGACGCGTCAACCATTAATGCTAAAGGGTGCTTAGAAGGATAGCTAAGAGTTACATTGTACAAAGGCTGTACGGGCATCATCAGACCAAATAATTGGCCGCGTATCTTTCTTTTTACTCCCAACCAAATATGTGTGCAAAGGTGTTCAAGGTGCTGGTTTTCAGTTGTCGAGGCTACCAGAATGTGATCGAAATATGGGACACAAAAATCTAAATCTCGAAGGACTTCATTAATGAAGCTCTGAAACGTTTGCGCAGCGTTACATAACCCGAAAGTCATGACAGGAAATTCGAATAATCCAAAAGGTGTTATTACAGCAGTTTTGGGTATATCAGGTGGATTGACAGGGATCTGATGGTAAGCACGAGTCAAATCTAACGTAGAAAAAATATTTTTGCCTTCCAAGACTTGCATGCAGTCCTGAATATGAGGAACCGGATATCTATCAGGCAAAGTAACTGAATTAAGACGTCGATAATCCCCACAAGGACGCCAGTCGCCGTTTTTCTTAGGGACCATGTGGAGTGGACTGGCCCATGAACTTTTAGATGGCCGACAGATTCCTTGCTCAAGCATGTATTTAAATTCTTCTTTTGCAGCCTTTAATTTCTCTGGAGGCAACCGCCGTGCTTTGGCAAAGATTGGTGGTCCAGTAGTCTCTATGACGTGTACAATACCGTGGTCAGCAGTCGGTTTGCCAGTTACTGAGCGGATGACGTTTAGGGTATTGCTCAAGTAGTTTGTGGAAAGGAGAATTACCGGAAATTAATTTAATTCCAAAAATTAGTGGCATTTCCAATGCTACCTACCGCGGACAATTGTGTGATGGAGTCGAGTAAGCGTCGATTTTTAATGTCAACCAACAGAGAAAATTTTTGCAGAAAGTCTGCACCAATTATTGGGTGCGAAACCGCAGCGATGACAAAGGGCCATTGAAATTTGCGACGCAATCCTAGATCCAAAGACATTAATATTTCTCCATATGTTGCAATTTTTGACCCGTTAGTTGCAAATAAGTTAAATTTTCCAGGCGGCCGTTTGGATTCGGCAAAAGAGGGAGATACAACCGAAATGTCAGCACCTGTATCTTTCTTCTATTTTTTTCTTTTAAAAAAAAGAAACTCTTTCTTCAATGTGTCCAACTTTATTTCCAACAGCGTCAATTCTGCCTTCCATGGCCGGACAAAAATATCTCATTTCACTTGTTTACTTAGTTATTGTTCATTGTAGCGAATTCGCGGTGAGATCGGATTAGCTTCCCCTGCGCAATTGTGTTCTATTTAACATTTTAGTAGTTTAAAATATAACTACTGTGTAAGATTGTACGAATATCTGTTAGGAAAAATTTTGTTTTCTATTACGCAGGTAATTTTTCTTTTCTATTCCTCTTGACTTGCTTCAATCAATTCTGGAAGACTTTCATTTCTGCTTTAACAGGTACTTAACCCGCTTTCATCCCCCTCTTAAACGGGTTGTGTT